ATGGCCTAGCATTGTCGTCCATGAAGACCCACTGTGTTCAGAGGATTGTCATCGAAATGTGGTACAACAACCCTGTCTAGAATGTTGTACTGTGATGTACTGTTGTCCATTTGGATTTTGTCTGATCGTCACAAGGTCGAGTTTACAGTCATGTGAGAAACAGTCAATACCATCAATGAACCCCCACCAAAATGTACACCCTCTACGATGGTCGGTTGTGGGTATTCTGTGTTTCTGCAAACATGAGCTCGGCCATCAGTCATGAACAAAAGAAATCGACTTTCGTCCGAACAGTATGCCGTTCCCCATGACGTCAAATACCAGTATCGTTGAGCTTGCTCTGGGGAGATCAAAGTACCTCTGACATCCATCTACCTCTTATAGATCGTCTGGCTAGATACCGATTTTAAGCTGTGTCGGCCCGTTCTGTTGGAAAACGACAATGTGGAGAAGCCACTCTGTTTTGACACACCACTTGACATGAACGGATGAAGTCTTGTGATTCTGAGACGGGTCTTCGTCCTCCATAGTAGTTGCTACTCGTGGTCGACCTTAACTCTGACGGTCCATAACGTCATTAGTTTGCTCATGTTTACTGGCCAATCGGCTGATAGTCGATGTTTGAGAATGGCAATGGCCCTCAATAGCATGCCAGCATCACACATGTTCACAAACTGACCTTTCTTAGCAGTTGCAGTTGGGGATTCTCCATATTTGCTTATCAACAAAGAAAGCAATGGATTTTCCATGTTATTCTGCTGTAGGAATAGTTTACTGAAACTTGATATAAATCAATGTACAATCGAGCACCGTTGTGTCTAACTCTGATAACTCGATATCTCGGCTGTCTGGATAAAACATCTCGGTCCCGGCAAAATCCTTCATAATTTATCATTATTCAAGCTCTTTTAACTCGATACGGTTGTCTCGATATTTCGGATATCTCGATATAATTTCATGGTCCAAACAAGCAAATGACCCATTTAACTCGATATTTGCAAAGACATTCGATATTCACCTACCTTCCATGGGAAAGTACCCCTTTGAACTGAGATTGTTTCCATACGTTTACACACGGTGCGGCAGGAATCAAAGGGATGCTGTAGTTTAAACTAATCAGGGCTAACTGAGTTAGGTGTCACTTGTTTGTTATGAAATTAATTAATTAAGAAGGAAATAATTAGGAAGTACTCACTGTTACGACTAAACACGACTGATAACCGATTACAGTTTCGAATCAAAACATACTGAGAAGCGTTTTGTTTTCTTTCATAGTGATATGTGACGATATGCCCTGGTCAGATGTCTCGAAGTCCGGATAACTCGATATTTTTTCGTGGTCCCATGAACATCGAGACAACGGTGCTCGACTGTATGTTGAGACCGAAGGATATAAATAATCATACAAGCAAACCTTGTTATGATATGAATATAAATGGACATACTGGGTTTACAAATAATAGGAGTTGTAATACCAGTCCATTTTCCAAGTGTATTATATCATTATGTGTACATCAAGACCCGAATGTTACAGTTAAGTAGTTCATCCCGTTCAGGTATTTCCTGGCTGTTTTGAAGCAAAAGCTAATGGATGTGTACCAAACTCATCTACAACTCTACGTGCGCAGAAGCCATGGTTTGATATCAATTGTAGACAAGCTAGGAAAGCGATGGAAAAGGCAAATATATATTTCCGCCAACTTAAGTAAAGAAAAATATTGCATATCAAAGTTCTTCGTTCATTTAAACAATGCAAGCGACAAACCGAATGATATGGCGATACCAAACAAATAATTATATAAGAAATAGTCAATGTTTAGTCAAATTACTTATCTGTTCAAAATTTGACTATGGCTCCTTCGTATGAGGTAGAATCTGCAAGCTTTAAATTGCTGTCCACCATAAAGATCAAAGAAGATCTGTCCGCACTTTCCGAACTTCTCTTGACATTCTTGACGTAAGGAAATTGTCACCAGTAACTAATGTGATGCCTATCTATAGTCCAGTTATATAATGTATTGTTTTGAATAGTAATATATTGACGCTTGTATTTTTATTTATATATTTGTATAAATTTTATAATATAATCAGTGACAACCCTAACCAGGGTGGGAAATGTCAGGAAAATTAACTAATCATTGATGATTTCTTTTCTTTGGTGATTACGTTGATAGTAAGTCACATCGGCAGTATGTCTGCCCTAACTTAACTAAAACTAGTTATGCATTAATCATAATTTTCAAACTATAAAGCTTGTTCACAAAAGAAGAAAACAATAACTAGCAAATACTGAACTAGTATGAAAGAATTCATATATGACTACTTTAGAACAATATTTTTATATAATTGGGCTATAGATCACCAAAGGTTGGTCACCATATTAGAGACGTTTTGTGTTTTTGCTACCTGCATGGACACTAGCTGGATTACATCATCAAACAACACGGATGCATAAAACGTGTACATCGTCTAACATAACACTGTTTGAAGGTTATACTGACTGACTGACTGAGTTTGGTTTTACGCCGCTTTTAGCAGTATTCCAGCAATATCACGGCGGGGGACACCAGAAATGGGCTTCACTCGTTGTACCCATGTGGGGAAGGTTATACTGAGGTTGTGCAAGTTTTAACTATTGTCAAACAGTTGTTTCCACATACTAGGTCTAAAAAGAAAGAACATTGTACTTCTGCAGACACCAAAGGCTTGAGCTATTGAAATATGTTACCAACATGGATCTGAATATGAAGCAGATTCGATTCTTATCTCGACTGATTAACTGATCAATTATATACACAAAGAACTTAATTAAGTACCCCCTGTATTTTTGCAACGATAGGTTTTCAACACGTACATAAAACTTAGTCAAAGATGTCCTTCGTCGTTTGTACTATGAGCCATATGGCCATCAAAAAGCAGGCAGTAGACTGCTTGTCTGTAAGAAACAGACGTGAGTTCTCATCTGCAGTAATTCAGAACGACAAGAATGATGCAGTCATTTGTTTGCACAAATAACTGTAACATCTCTTGGGTTAAAATAGTATCAATGTGCATACTTTCTAATCTTGCCATACAGATTCAACCAGTATTAACCATACCAAGCCAGAGAGGCAATGATGCAATAGTTACTACGACGGAGGATCACTACTTGCAAAATATATTCCACTGGTCTTAGATTATGTTACTAACAAAAGAACTCCTTTGGTGATTGTTCAGGGCAACTTAACTGGTGTGGTACAGGGATCAGATTCTTCGACCTGTGGCAATTCCTTTTCTGCAACGTCATGGCCCTGGGTTAACATTCCAACAGGACAATGCCCGCCCTCATACGGCAAGGGTTGCTATGGATTTCTTGCAACACCACAACGTTGACTTACTGCCTTGGCCTGCAAATTCACCGGATCTCTCCCCGATAGAGCATGTTTGGGACGCCGTCTTCCTCATCCGACAGATAACGTCCTTGACCTTGCAACCGAACTTGAGAGAATCTGGCGTGACATCCCACAAGCCTTCCTTGCACGTTTGATAGGCTCTATGCGTCGTCGATGCACTGCTGTTCTCAATGCCGATGGTGGACATACCCGTTATTAAGCTTGTGACATGGTCGTTTGACCCCTGTCCCCCTTGTGGACTCGTGACGTCATTGTGATTGACTTTTCAATTGAAATTCTCCCGACTTGTTATGGTCTCATGATCCTTCCATTGAAGTTTATATGTACCTTTGACATTGTTATCGTACTTATCAACTAGGATAATATTTTGACAATGCACAGTTTCTTTATGTGGCTAGTATATATCATGTTTGCTTTATGGATAGATCAGTTTTAGCCATGGCGAGCAAGGAGGAGAGTGATGCAGGTGTTCCCATGACAGAGGTGCATTGTCAATGAGGAGACAGAAGTGAGCCCACACCACAGAGAGAATCATGGAGCAGACATCTGGACTACATGCTGACAGTTGTTAGCTACTGTGTTGCATTAGGCAACATACTGAGATTTCCCTATATCTGCAACAGAAACGGTGGAGGTAGGAATATTATATGTATATATCGGATCTTAACAGTATTGTATTGATGGCTATTTCTTATGATTTCTGGTACGCCTGGTACGACGCTTCTCATGATATCTTGATCCATACAAGGGTAAATACAGATTAATCTTTCACACAACAATGTTAAACAGTGTATGAAATAAGGCCCGTCCGACCGCCCGAGGCGGTCTAACTTTACACCTAACCAGCCGGATGGTCTGGTAAAAACTTTAGATGTTCCATACTTGTGAGTAAATTCACCACATTTGGTCTGGTTCAATCCATGTTGGGCCTGATGTCTGGCTGGACTTTTGGCTATTTCATACTCTGTTATATCATTCATACACGAGTGTAATAAAGAGGAAAAGAAACAGTTTCATCAACACTTTATCTACATTGCTGACAATCATTCAGGAATATATATAATAATTTGAAGCTTACGTCATTACATAAAAATGGGACTACACTTTTCTCCAGGAGCTTTCCTCATCCCCTTCATCTTGCTCCTTTTGATCACTGGCTTCCCATCATTCTTCTTGGAGTCGATGATCTCTGAGTTCTCTTGAAAGGGCGCAAAGCATGTTTGGAGCTTTTGTCCTTTGCTTAAAGGTCAGTGTCTCATCATATGTTCATTGTCTATTTAAGATCAGTATCTGAGCGAAGAGGTGATGGTTCAAACGTTACTGATTCTTTGTCTTATGTCACCAATTTTTAGAGACATTAATACATGCTCTTTGAATGGTACTAAATGACAAGAAACGGCTCTGTCTGAACACAAGTTTCTATTGGAACTAATTTACAGAAAATATAAAGATGATGCTATTTAAATGAGTTGTTCCAGGCTAGATGATCAGTAGCAAAATATTCTGGTCGTACGACGTGACCAAGTGACACTAGGTGGTCCAACTGGGTGACTGATCGAACATTTTTTTCTCTATTTAGGGGTTTGTGTTGGTTCTCATAAACTGTTTGTATATGCCCTACTACACCCTCTTCCTGGCCTGGTCCATCTACTACATGGTGAAGTCCTGCTCCAGCGTCCTGCCCTGGACAACTTGTGGCAACAGCTGGAACACCGACCTGTGTATTGACGACATGAATACAACCAGTAACGGGACAAATATGGCAGGGAACACATCAGAACCTATCACCATAACCGAGCGTAGGGAAAATGGAACTTCTGCTCGCACGCCTGCTGAGGAATTTTTTCGGTGAGATATACATGATATTTTCCTTAAAAGCAAACGTTTCGTACACATTCTTCAAGATATATATACCTTTCAAAAAAGTTGGGGGACTTCATTTTTAATTTACGATTGCCACTATTGGGAGATATCTGAGTCAATATATGTTGATATGATAATAATGAATGTTTTGAGAGTGCATCACCACTTGCACTTCCTTAAGCTTATGGCCATAGTTGTTTGTACAGTCATCGGTCTTGAAAGAAGATTAGTGTATGATGTGAAATTTGCACGTGTACGAGTTTCATTTTCAAGCAAAAAATTCCCAGCTAGAACCAAACACTAACTACTTGTCCAAATTAATGGTCTTCAGCGATTTATCGACCTTATTGACAACTGTCAATATCATGAATGACACCCCATGCACGTGTATGGGGGCTATATATACATCACTGACATGCTCACGTTTAAACGGAAGACATATTAGGTCCCTTGAAGACCATATAAATGAAAAGATACAGTCACAAACGTCAAAGTCAGAAAACAAATGGCCTAGATTAGCCGCTTTGAAGATTCAATTGGGTGATTAGGCTTGAGAAAATTAGCAGCTCTCGCAAGTAGTTACATGGTACTTGTTTAAGTCAATTTACCAAAATACTATATTATATTACATTGTCAGATTTTGACAATTGGCAAAGTATGACACGGAGATGCAAAGTCTGAATTTGAGAAAGATATTATGAATTGAATGTCTTCATTGAGATAAGAAAATATCGAGACGGTGGGTTATTTTCTCATTGAGCAGTGAACACATGGTACGTGCTTCGATACCTTCTCCTGCAACGGTATAACTCAGGACAGTGTCACAGTAAGCTGCCTTAGTATACACGCGTAGAACAAACCGACGGTTATGAACTGGTGTTGTCTTGCTCTTGTATCTTCTAGAAATAAAGACAATGGTATAACTAGTTGTATCTGTATAAGTTGTAATTTTGGAGCGATTGAAGATGAATACCATGTTTATATGCAATGTACAACATATAATGAAATTCGGCTGAATGCCATGCCTCAATGTGAACAAAGCATTATAAATGTATTGCACTCGAAAGATTCTAATGTCATGAAATAAGTTGCTTTGTTTTTGAAACATCTGATTAAACATTATACATGAAATTATCACGATAAACATAGTTTATCTTACAATTGTATTATGACCGTTAGGCCCACATTACTGAATAAATATGTCTGTCAGTCCGTCTCTATATGTTTTTTTTTATATTGTTCTCTGTTTGTTTTTGTTCTTTGCTCATTTTTGGGGTTCCATTTTCTTGTTTGTTTGGTTTTTATTTTTGGTTTTTGGTTTTTGGGGGTTTTGGGGTTTGTTTGTTTGTTGTTGTTTTTTTTTGGGGGGGGGTCCTGCCCAATTGCTGTATTTTTTGTTAGTCGAAATGCCAATATTGCACTTGGTTACAACCAACTAGAATTGATGGTCCCAAGGTTTACTGTGTACATATAATAAGCTTCCTTTGGTGAGTCATTGTGATTCCCGGGTCAATGTCAAGCTCGTCACAAGCTTTTTTTCTTTTCTTCCCATGCTGATATTGCTATGAATCTCATTTATCTCAGCGGTATTTAAAATCTTTTTTTTTTCAAAGGCAAGAATCTGACTGACAAATTATTTAAATCAGGATGACATGTAAATGATTTTTGCTCAGGGCATATATAACAAACTTGCCATTATACTAATATTTGTTTTTTTAGATATTTCAGATACATACTTGTTCAAAGTTGAACATGGTTGGCCAGAAATCTTATGGGGCAAATTCGCTGTTGCAACCAAACGGCGCATCAGAATCCATAGTACCACATGCATAGCCTCGGCCCCGTGCACGGCTTTTTGTCAAACTAACTTAGCCAATATCTGACTTTCAGGTACAATGTGCTGAATGTCTCAACTGGATTGGAGGACGTGGGAGCTGTACAGTGGCACATAGTTGGATGTCTGTGTGCATCCTATGTAATAATCTTTCTATGTTTAATTCGTGGAATCAAGTCTTCTGGTAAGGTAATTCTAATGTAAAAAGTCTCCTGAAGTTTGACATGACACAAATCTGTTCGCTATGCACCATGAGTTGTACATGAACAAGTACCACCCCTTTCTCTATTCACTATTGCTATTCAGACATCTCAGCAAACCCAAGTCTGACACCTTCTGGATGGTGACACGAATGTTCAGTTTGAAAAAATATGTCAAGGTGATTCTTGAGTATTTGCTCTGGTATTTGTTGTAGCTGAAAAAGAGTATTTATTTGCATATTCAATAAAACAAATCCCATTCGTGATTCTTAAAAACTATTTAGAAATATACATTTAGAAATATAGGGTGAACAGCAGTTAATAATTACGTTAGAATATGTGGTTAACAACTATTTTTCCTTCTTTTAGTTGTATCAAAGAGGTTTATTTCTTTAAAATAAATAAAAGCAAAAACAGTATATACGGTGATGGTAAGTACCATTAGAATGAACCAGGAATAGAATTATTGTTCTTGTTTAGAGTAGTTCTGACGTTCATGTGCCAACATGAAATCCTCCCGGAAGAGGTACGAGTTACTGTTCGGCATGTGCCGGAATAACACGAGTCGGATACAATACTTTCATGTCTCCGTATCAGTTATATGTACGATTTTCAGTGGGCTGAAACAAATGAACATACACTTTCATTTTGTAATTTTGACTTACGTGACGATTTTTTAAAGTATGGATCCAACCAAAAAATGCCACAGCCATAGTAACAAGACGTCCTTTATAATATCTAAGGACTAAAATATTATATTGTTTTCCTGATAACAGGCTGTGTATGTGACCGCACTCCTGCCGTACGCCCTCCTCCTCTCCATCTTCATCACAGTAATGCAAGAGCCAGGTGCTCTAGATGGCCTGTACCACTACGTCATCCCTGACTTTAACAAACTACTTGACGTCCAGGTGTGCCAGCGGTTGTGTAGCAAGCACATCTACTATCAACTACTGGATCACAGTGGTTCATAAAGAAGTGTTCAGATGTAACGGAACTGTATACCATAGATTTTGGTCCCATAATGTCCCGACACATTAAATTACAATAAATAATAATCATACAGTGAAGATGTTATGTACGTGGTCATACATTCTAGGTCTTTTTTGGTGAATGCTTACCCGTGACTCTGAGAAAAACACAATGACGATTAATTACTATAGAAGATAATTTCATTAACAACCTCCACATGACCATCACCATGTATCCACATTCAAATTCTAGGTGATATCTGTTTGGATATGTCAAGAGACAATGAACGTGGTTTTTAATAGCTGTGCAATACACTTAAACATATATATTGTCACGACACTGGACACTACTGGAACGTCATCGTCGGCAAATAGTTACTGTAATGTGGTGATAACGTTCAAAACCGAGTTAAATAGTTTCGAAACCAATTGTACACTACGGACCCGAATACAGTAATCTGATTCTGATACATCCTTAAAACGCATCATTTTAGATTCGTATCCAGGCATATTTTACTTACACTCGTGATCACAGTGGCGCAGTAACGCATAACACAACGATCATTGGGGACGTCATCCGTCCTTCATTGTTAACTCTAAAATGACCCTCTATAATCTAGTTTTTGCCATATCAGTATGCCATGATAAATAGCTGTATAATTCATATATTCAGGTGTGGCTGGAAGCATGTTTGCAAGTGTTCTATTCACTGGGTGTTGGTTGTGGGATGATTGGCACTGCTGCCAGCTACAACAACTTCCATGAACCATGTCTCAGGTGAGTAATCAAAGAAATCCGTGCAACTATATAAGTAGCTCCAAATAATCTCGTGATGGTAATAGTATGACTTAATTGCATTTGATTATTCTTTCTCGAAAATATTACTAATTTTTCTCCAAACACATTTGTCAGCCGAAGAATGGAATCCTGCTTCAGAATTTCTTTTGACCAAAATCAAATTTGATCATGATTGTGATTTAAACTTAAAGACTTCTGGTTACTTGTTCGAAATCCTATTGTACTCAGCATGGATTTACAAAACTTCTAAAACAACTGCTAGAAGCATTAGAAATTCGTTTTTTGGGGTCATACTCTGTTTAATGTAAAAACCAAAGAAGTGATAATTAGTGATCGGAAGATATAATGTCAAATTACATTTCCTGGAGATATACTGATAAGTAGAACTTCAAATTTTGAAAATGTGTATGATTGTATTCACAGAGATTGCCTCATATTGACAGTAGTCTCGGAAGGAACCAGTATCTTCTCTGGCCTCGTGACAGTTGCTACCCTCGGATTTATGGCACAGAAAGTGGATGTTTCCATCGAAACTGTTGTGTCAAATGGTAGGTAACTGGAGACCAGCATCAGTTTTGTTTTTTTTAATGAATATTTCTTCTGGTTTTGAATACCCAAATGCTACAAATGTTTGTCATTTAGACAATTTCACGTTATATTATATATGCCTTTGGATATCACTTTCCATTGAAGGTCCAGGTTTGGGATTTGTAACCTATCCAGCAGCTCTGGCCAAACTTCCACTTCCTCAGCTGTGGTCATTCCTGTTCTTTCTGATGTTGTTGATGGTTGGACTGGACACACAGGTACTGCGAAGTCAATATTATCTGGTACATTCTTAACGCAATATTCACCTATGCTTTGACAGTCGTGCACGGTCCATTAAACCAGAATCGGAAATCATGATACGTTACACACCTGCAAAGTTTGACAACTTCAGTTTTGCAGGTGTAGGTTGTCAGTTGAAAATATACCATCTCCCTATGGAAAAAAATCAAAGAAACATACGCAAAGAAATTCACAATGTGTTCAAGCCTCAATATTCAATAGTAGATTAGATTAGTTGGACGCTTTGAACATTACGTCAGCAACATCACATCAAGTCATTTTGATTTGAGACGAGTTATGGAAAGCAAAATGACCGAAACCCGATATTGAAGTCCGAGTAAAGGACCTGGTTGATCTGGTATGGTGGATTAAATATGGATTTGGATGACAATAAGATTCCCTTTGTTGCAATCGACCAAACATGTCCAAAAGAACATTTTTCACCGGAGAACAGCAACACTCCAAACACGCACTGAACTGTATGAGGCAAGGGTTTTGTTTGTGTCTTCTTGACACCACAACATCGTCTGTAGCAACCTCGAGGGTTATGCTGTGGTCCTAAACAGACATGGGGACACGTCTGGTTCATCGACGAGTCTAGATTTTGACTGAGTCACGGAGAACTGGATGCAAGAAGTAGACGGGATTGGTGGTGGACCTATGCTGCTATGGGATGCCAGCCCTCACAATGATAAAACCAACATGATCCATTGTCAATGCTGCATCGATCACATCCAGCAACATAACGTCACCCCTGTCATGACCAACGCCAACGATGTATTCCAGTACTAAGACAGGCCTCACAAGTGTAACGGCTGCATAGAAACACAACTGTCCTCCATCGGCCTTTAAGATTGCAAGACACCCAAAAGCACATTTGTTGGACGAGTTGGATAGATGATTATGACGGAGACAACTGAATGTCCTGCAGATGGTGTTAGCATTGCAAGCCTAGTGGACAATTGTCCGAGCTCGTAATTCAATCTTTGACGGACAGAAGGTGCCAGGCAGTTCTCAGTGTTCGGGACATACACGTCATTGATTGCAGGTGACACTGATCTTGTACCTTTAACCTTCCACAGGACCGCTGTTCACAATTCGGATCTTGTCCCTGAATCTTATTTTCAATGTAACCAGATTATGGCTCTGTTTCTTGTGCATTTCTCTCGTAATCAGCATGCTAAATATGTTCTTTTTCCAGTTCCTGGGAATTGAAGTCGTGATTACTGCTCTTATTGATCAGTATCCACGTCAGTTAGGGAAGAGGAGGATGGTGGTTACAGGAGGATACTGTCTGATGGTGTTTCTTCTGGGAATCATATTCTGCACACAGGTGACTTGTACAGATCATAGTCTTAGAATGGCATAGATCGTGTCATAGTACACTTTTGTGGTTAAAGAATGTGATGAGATTTACTGACACAATCAGAATAAGCAGAGCAAAATTTGCAATTTAGTGATATTGTTTCAAACCAGTAAGTACGGATCGTATTCTCTGAAGTTTTCTGATATTCAGGATGACCTGTACAGATCCTTGTCTAAGTAAGGTACAGATCATGAATGTCATAGTACAAACAAAATCTATTTTGTGATATTGTCCCAATCCTTCTCATTCTCAAAACAGTAAGTCATTATCGTATTCTAAAGAGTCTGATGGAACCTCTATGTAGCTCTGTAGAACCAGGATGATGTTTACTAGTTCTGTTATGAATAACAATACCAAAGAACACAGAGGAGAACGTATGTGTCCTAAAGTAGAAGAAATGTTTGGATAAAGCATTCCCTTGCAAAGTCAGTTTGGAGAAAATCGTGAGTTTGTGTTATGAGGGTTCGGGATGGAAGCCTGTACCAAAAGTGTATATTTGTGGAAGTGAAACATCAAATTGTAGTACAATAACATTAGTGCAAGCAGTAGTGACAGTAGTAATAGCAACAGTGGTAGTATTTAATACCACGTATTCCTTCAAGCTAGAATACCCGTGAAGGTCCGGGTTAGAATATTGATCTTCATTAACCCATGCTTGTCGAAAGAGGCGACTAACGGGATCGGGTGGTCAGGCTCGCTGACTTGGTTGACCATGTCATCGGTTCCCAATTGCGCAGATCGATGCCCATGCTGTTGATCACTGGATTGCATGGTCCAGATTCGATTATTTACAGATAGCTGCCATATAGCTGGAATGTTGCTGAGTGCGACGTAAAACTAAACTCACTCAGGCTAGAAATAGGCTTACCTTGAATTGCAAAAGACAGAAACAGTTATACATCGGCAATGTTCTTCTACAATAGATAACACTTCCTCACAACTCCATGGATCTGTCGTGTATTGCAGGGAGGGCCGTACATGTTTCAGCTGGTAGACTGGTATGTATTATCCCTTCGACCAATGGTGATATGTACACTTGAGAGTATCGCCGTGTCATGGATCTATGGTGTGTATGACAATAACAAATCTATATGTAAAAGTTCTGTTGCAAATGTAAATAATCGGCTTCTTGTCCTTATTCGCGATTATTCATGAGTTGTTTCCATCCATTATTTATTTCAGACAGTGTATGTAGGTTATGTACATTGGCATGGAATCTGTGCTATAATTGGTGTCTAGTAACCGATACTTGCCTCTTCGTTTGGATCCCTGGTTCGAATATGTCTCACAGCAAACCTCCCCGTGGGATTCATGTCCCAATGGGTCACTAGCAACCAATTCCTGCCTCCTCCTGGGAATTGCAGGTTGGAATAGGTCATGTCACGTTTCGATACAGGTTATTGTATCGTTGTCAAGCATCTGTATCGAAACGTCGCATCACCTGAATATTGAAGTTGGTCATCAACAAAGGTTCTTCTGATCTGATTCACCAACTTCTAAATATGCCACTCAAAGAAGGTGTCTGGTCCTAATTGTGTATTATGTACACGCTGTTGTCATGTAGCTAGACAACAGCCAATTTTGAAAACCGTAGGAGTGGTCATAGAGCCCAGGATAACTTGTGAACACGCAATGTATTTCTGTCAGGAATGAGACGGATCAGTCGAGACGTTGAGATGATGATTGGCAAGCCACTACCGATGCCTGTAAAAATCCTATGGGCTCTGGTTACACTGGCAATCTTACTCGTGAGTACAATAATTTAATGACGGCATATAATTTCTCTGGTACACGATTCTGCACATGATATTACCTTCCCACCGTCGTATAGTTTGATGTCTTCAGTGCGATGTTCCAAAGACAAATCTACACATCGGTCTCCAAACTGAAGACATGACATACATGTAGACAACGTTTGTGCCAAAGAACATGGTGTCTTGGCTATCCTCAGAAACTGATTCAAATGGGAGTAAAGACGAAAATATCTATGACAATCACCACACATTTGGATGGATCAGTGAAATCACCAGACGTTCACCAAAACCAAAGTGTATACAGTAGCATGACCGAACATCACAACTTTCCGATGTGGTTAAGCTCTTCTCGTTTCATCAAAAACATAACAGAGATGTTCTGAAATATGTGTGCGCCATGAATATTTTCAGCAGTGACGTGTGAAATCAATGTAACCGCATAAATCAAGGAACGACACAAATTCTTTCACATTTGCCATAGTTTTAATCTTGGTTATCGCTTATAGTTTAATTCCATCCAACTGGGTCAGTTGTTAATAATAATTGTAGAACTCAAGAAGTTTAAAATATGGTTGAAATATGAATTTAAACGTCGATGTAACATTTACTTTAAGAATCACGCATTGAACACTTATCCTGAAATATAACAGCACCATGAACACTATATGTATATATGTTACCCTTATCATATCTTGTTTCATATCCAGATCACTTTCATCCTGACACTTCTCCGCTACCAGCCACCAACATACGGCACGTACGTGTTTCCTAGCTACGCCTCTACAATCGGTTGGTTCATTGCAGTGCTGCCCATTCTACCGATACCCGTCTATATGGTCATGACTGTCAGGAAACACATGGCGACCAATTCCCTGAAGGAGGTAATTGAGCTTCTTCCATCTTAAGAATTGTGCGACATTGAATTTGGTGACATTTCAGATGATGTTATTCATTACGATTCATTAGCAAATGGAATCTAGACAGGATTATTGTAGACTGTACTGTTCGGAACTGATCTTGAAGTGGGTGCT